TTTTAAAAGCTGTATTTTAGTTTTAGAGCTGACAAAAGTGTTTCAGGGCAATGTCGCCATCTTTAGCGGAAAAACTACCTTTCCCAGAATGCATTTCCCTTATATCAGTCCATAATAATATCAGTCCCATATCAGTGCCTTATATCAGTCCCTTATATCATTTCCCATAGTTCTTTTTGGGTTGGAGAGTCAACTGGTTCTCTTTTACCAGACTTGCTTACAAATTCTTGCCCGGGAGGTTTGAACAAAGTTTTTTGGCTTTTGCAACGGGAGATTTGAACAAGCATTTTACATTTTCAGCTATGGCACATTGGGAGGTTTCTGTTCTCCTCAGCTGGCTTCAACAGGTGTCTTTCCATTTGACACTGGCCCCCGGATCAGAACCACACCTGCCTCATTAGCCGGCCTTGAGGCTGGCATTCCTGATAGCAACTTTCCTCGGGGCTTGTGTTTGCCTTAGCCAGTCAATGAAAAGCAAGATCATTTACAACAGCTTTTCCATTGCTCTTTCAGAGAGATTTTCTCCCACTGATCTTATTCTCATTTTGCTTGTTCCTTCCCACCCCCCCAAGATGCAGAGCTTCAGGTATCTGTCTGTGGCTCTGTACCTCTGCTAGCTGCCTTTGGAGGTAGGGGCTTTTTCTCCCCCCGAATCTGCCTCAAACTCTAGCAGCTTTGTCAGGTCATGCATTTTCTGGGGAGGAATCTGTCCCCTCTGTTGCTTCAGAGTCTTTCTCCCAGACAGTTCCCAGTTTGGTCTCAGTTTATTCCCTCTACCCCAGAAACAGTTTCCAACACTAGAGCGGCGGCTTTCCCTGCTACTGAAGGTAGGGGCTTTTGTCCGTTTCTATTTTTCGGGGCCTGAGGTTTGTGTTCATAAATCAAGCTTAGCAAGGGAGGTTTTCACCATCTCTAAACTCCCATTGGACAGGTGTTTTGCCTCATCAGGCCTTCACCTGGCCCAGTCCCCCAGTGGGTTGTGTTTGCTTGTCTGGGTGTTCAAGGACAGAGCTTATGTCAGAGGCAATCACCCCTCAGGGCTACACTCCCTCATCTCAGGAGTCAGTTGAAACAAAGCTTTTCTCAAAGAGGTGCTTTCTCTGACAGAAAAGAAAGCTTTACTCCTGGACAGTTCTGTTCTGCCCTGGCTGGGCTCTTTCCCCGACAGCGTTCTGACTCGGCAGCACGACTGCTTCAGACCCAGTTCAGCTTTACTGTTTTCCCAGAAAGGTCCTTTCTCTGATAGGAAAGCTTTTCTCAGATTCCTTTTTGCAGTTGTGGACCTATCAACCCGGGACTTGTAGGAAAGCAGATAACTGCCATTCCCACCGGCTTTAGCTTTGTTTGTTCATTAGCAATCTTCCCCCGGGTCCTGCATCTTCCTGCCTCAGCTCTGTGCTCCAGGAAGTTTATAACTGCAGGAATCCTAGTATCCCCGAAATGCACTCCAACTCAGAGATGCTGGCCAGTCACCTCTGGGTTTTTGCTCAGAAGCGAGGATACAATGCTAACAGTTTCAGGGGATCTTTGCATTAGGACAATTAGGAGCACCTTTTCATTCGGAAACGCTCACTCAGAACCTTTGCTGCCTCAGCTCCGCTGTAACTGTGAAGCTTGGCTTTTTTGCTTTTCTCAGGCAAAGTTTCCTGCCCTTTTGGGCTCTCTGTAGCTGTTCATCCTTGCTATCCCCAAGCGTTTCCCTCAGGGTACTCTGACCCACTCTTTTACTAGCTTGAAGAGACAGAGCTTAGAAGAGGTTTTTAGGAACTTGTCC